GGATGAACCAGACTCTCCTCTAGAGGTCAGACCTCAGCTTTTATAAAATATATTACTTTCTGTTTCTGTTTATTTTAACGTTTATTACGCATCATGACGTTACCTATAGTGTGACTATAATCTTATCTACACTGTATGTATTGTTTCTTTAAAGGTTAGAGCTTATTTACTTGAGGTTAATTTGTTGTAGTACTAGAAAAATAATTATAGTATATATTTTCTGCAATTGATATTATCGTATCACGTTGGTTTAGCCGGCCCCTGTTGTCAGAATTCAGCACCGTGGATAGAGGCACTGTCTCCGTCTTCTTGAGCTTCAATTTGAGAACGCTTTTTATTTGTTTTTGCTTTTTATTTTTCCTAATTTACTTTTACAAGCACACATTTGGATTTTACAGATGTTTCATTACAGTAATATATTGTAGTACCATTTTAGATATTTTTATTTCTAATGCATTTTTTCCGCTAAAGCCTTTTTAAATGTATATGACACAGTAAAGAATAATAAGAACGTGTAGACCTTTTTAATCAGGAATGAGTTGTAGTTCATATTTGTGAACTCTTAGGGCCGCTGTTGGCCAGCGTGTTGATGTTCAGGCGCAGATTCAGAGAAACCGCCACCCATTTTAGTGTTATCAATGAGAAGACGAAGGAATAGCTTTTAACCGTCGGATTACACAGAAACAACACGGAGCGGTGGTCCACTTTTTGAGATTACCAACGAACGTTAACACGGAGCCTCGTTGTGGACTATTAATATCCAGCTATTGTGGATTTTCTTCATTCGCTCTGTGATTTACATGCTGGTGGAGATTGTCGGGCAGAACAATGAGACGGCAAGTGCTGTTGTTTTTCTTCGTCCTTGATTTCACGTCAGTGCTCGGCCACGTCAGCTATACCATTCCCGAGGAAATGCCGACTGGTTCTTTGGTAGGCAATATAGTTCAGGATTTGGGTTTAAATGTGAAACGGCTGAAATCAGGTAAAGCTCGCGTTTACACTGGAGACGGCGCAGGCTACATCGAGCTGAACAAGGACCGGGGGCTTCTCCTTGTCAAGGAAAGAATAGACAGAGAAGCGATTTGCAGACAAACAACGCCCTGTGCTTTACACTTTCAGCTCATTTTGGAGAACCCAATGGAGCTTTACAGCATCACAGTTCAAATTGAAGATGTTAATGATAATCCTCCAACCTTTGAAAAAAACGAGGTTAGATTTAACATCAGCGAATCTGCAGTGGCTGGTGCGAAATTTGTGTTAGACAGAGCAATAGATCTTGATGTCGACAGAAACGGCCTTCAGAAATACGCGCTAACTCCGACTGATAATTTCATACTAAAAAGCGAAAATCAGGCTGATGGAACGGAGAAGGCTGAGATGATTTTGCAGAAGCCCCTCGACAGAGAAAACGAAGAGACGGTGTCGTTGGTTTTAACTGCTTTTGATGGAGGAGACCCGCAGATGACAGGCAACATGAAGATTTTCATCACGGTGTTAGACGCCAATGATAATGCTCCAGTGTTTTCCCAGTCCACCTACAGAGCCACTGTTTTTGAGAATGCCCCAGAGCAGACGATTGTCACCAGCGTCACTGCTTCAGATTCAGATTATGGAGCAAATGGTAGAATAAAATACTCAATCACAAACAGTTTGGATCAAGCTCATGAATTATTTCGAATACAAGAAGACACTGCTGAAATTAGGTTAATTGGTCATGTTGACTATGAAAAAGCTCGTAATTACCACATTAACATCCGGGCGAGTGATGAGGGTGGACTCACAGATTCTTGTAAAGTAATAGTAGAAGTGATCGATGTCAACGACAACAAACCCACGATTAACATTATGTCAAAATCAGGTTCGATATCTGAATTATCTGAGCCGAAAACTGTGGTTGCAATGATAAACGTCCAAGATCCTGATTCGAATGAAAACGGTAGAGTTCAATGTTTTATAAACGATAACACGCCATTAGTGATGATGTCGACATCAAATAATTTCTATAGTTTAGTAACGGAAGGTGAGTTAGACAGAGAGAGAGCCTCTG